TAGATTCAGTATCAGTTTCAGTACCAATACAATTTCAGTTTCAGATTATATACTGTTGATCATGATATTGTAATTATTATTGTTGTTTACTTTAGTATGAGTTTCTGCGGAGCACTGTGGCTTTTAGTGCTCACGCACTCTTTTTTCTCTTTTTCAGATAACAGGGTCGATCTAGAGGTGTGAGCTCAACTTGGTGGTTGTGGTCGTGGACTTGGCTCAGTTTTCCATTCTTGTGGGATTTTATACATTTCAGGCTGTATATATATTATTATGGCACGAGTATTTACTTCCGCATGATTTTCAGTTATCAGTTTTCGAACTTGCATACTAGTATTTCAGATTACCAGATTTTACCCGGTCCCCTAGTATGACTTGAGTTCAGTATAGTATGCTTGTTGATATTATGTTTTCTTTATGTTTAACCTAGTAGTTAGACCCAGTTTAAAGAAAATGGATTTTCAGCACAGACAAGTTTTCAGTAGCATCTCGAGATTTGATTTCGCAAATTTATAAGTATTTTTAGAACAAATTTTGCGAAAAATTGGCTCTGATACTAGTAAGATAGCGGGGTGTTACAATTGGTATCAGAGCATGTTTTTGTGTATCTCAATACTTTAGTGAGTGAGAAAGTTTTCAGAAAACCCGACCACACCACACTCACGCCTCGCCGACTACCAGGTAAGTGCTGATTTAAATTTTTATTTATAAACAAATTTCTAAGTCTATGCTCAGCAGGATATCAGAAATTATCTTTATAAGTCAGTTTCGATGCTCAGATCAGTATAATTTTCTTTTAGGGGAATAAGATCTATCCTCCGAGAAGAATTCAGAACTTTAGAAAGGGGCTAAGTTTGAAAACTCTAGATTTAATTCTAGATTTATTGGGTCACTTTTTGTTACTCGTCAAGAGATTTGGAAAGCATAGAGTAGCAAAAGTCTTGTCAGACATGTTTTTCTATCAAAATTTCTCATTTTGCCAACCAGTTGGCACATTCTAGATAAGAATTCCTTGATCTAGATCAGGGAAAAGACTCAATTTTCTTAAGTTAGACCAGTAGACCAAGTGCAGAGCTAAATTCTGACGCTAGAGGTTGCTAAATTTAAGAAAGTAACAACCTTTAAAGTCAGTAAGTCGAGTATCTTGTCAGTTAGATACTCCCAGTTATAGTTGGCAAGCTTAAGATCAGTTATTAGTATAGTACTTGCGGGACCAGTTGATACTGGAATAGCCCTACATAGTACCTAGTCAGAAGTAAACATCTATGAGTTTAAGGTCGGCGTATAATAGTTCCTAGCCAGGTAAAGTATGGAGATCTGAAATACAGATCATTAGTCCAAATTAACTGGAAACTTAAAGTCAGACCTTATCAGACCTCAGTAAGACAGTACGTATCAGTCCAAATTCTGAGACTACAATAAAATGTCTCGAGAGAACTTCTAGAAGTCAAGTAAGAGTATCCAATTATGTGAAAGTTGAGGATGGTCTGTCTAATAAGACAAGACTTATAAGTTTCCTCTTGAGCATATACAGTGTCCCGATTCTCGAATTAAGAAATTTGAGAAGTCGTAGGAAAGATTAGTTTGTAATAAACTTTTATTAAGGTTAGTTTAGCATCAGGAAAGATAAATATTACCAGATGCAGCGTGTCGGTGTACGACACATTTTTCGTTAATGATGAAGAAGACTAACCAACAGCAACAAACAACATCGTGGTGACAAATCGGAGCCTTCCATACAAGGACACACGTCGCAAGAAGAGAAGGAAGACGTATCCGAGTCATAATACGCCAGGAGATCAAGGAAAGTTAGCATATTAGTACGATGAGGTTACTAGCATGAGATACCGATATGACCAGTTATACAGACTACATCGACGTTGCAGGTGCAATGTTCGCCAGGTGTTGTGTGCAGGCGTGCCGCACTCACAAGATGAGGAGCATGTATGCCACATTGCATAGTGCTGCGAACGATGTGTCGCGTCATCGGGTAGGTGTTTACGACAGGTAGTTACCGAGATTGCTAGTTGTCCTCATTTGTACATGTGCGTATCTCTGAAGTCTTCCGTGCGTACCACAATGTTTTGGGTCTCACAACCGCGTTCTAAAACAATGATCGAAAATCAGCCAGGAAGTGATGTCCAGTATATTCAAGAACTGTATCTTGAGTGTCGAGTACGGTCAGTGGAGCACTTTCAACTAGTAAGGTGTTATTAACATAACCAGTATTAATCGACAATTCAACCAGTTGTTGTGAATTGGCGATTCGTCAGTTAGAAGCATAACCATGAGTAGAGTCTTGAGCTCGATATTCAGATATCGAGTTATAAGTTTATGCCATCAGTTTAGTATAAGCTCTGAGTTAAGCTTGTACTTTCAGTTTTAGTATTTTCGAGGACGAAATAGTTTAAGGGGGATAGATTGTAACGCCCCGTCTTTTATTAATAAAAGTAAGATACTAGCTTCTGAGTATAAGCTAGCCTTTATTAATAAATGCTCGATGTGAGTTCCGATCCTAAGTTATTCAGCTAGTTAAGTTTCTAGTTCGACGTTAAGTCGAAAATATATTCGGTTGATTTTATTTATTAACCTAGCCAATTCTAGTAATTAATCTCAGTCCGCTTATTTTTATAAATGGACATAATAAGTTCGGGATTAATTATTCCAGTGTTGACGTATTAATCGAATTTGAGAATATTCGATAAATCGTCAAAGACGGGTTTTGAGCCCAGTTAGTAAGTTATTCAGATATAAGTTCGACTTTTTGTCGAAAGAGTATTTGGTTTAAATTATTTCATTAATCGAAATAAGTTCTGAATTTAATTATGATTCTTTTATTTAATAAATGAGTTTAGGATTATTAAGTTCAACTCGACATATTATTCAAAGTCGAGAATATTCGAGTTAATCGTTGAAGTCGAGTCTGGACCGGAACCGAGAAAGTTCGGTCGAGTCATGCCCTAATCTCGGCTCAAGTTTTAGTCGTGCCTTAGTAGTATTGCATTAGCAACTTCTAAAGCATTTATTCAAGTCTAAGTATGTATTAGCAATAGAAAAGAAAACCACAAGGCTAATCACGCATGCATGCGCACCAGCCATATTTAGCCAAGTTGCCGAGTTTAAGACTTAATAAAAGTTTAAGTAAAATTTTAGACATTTTGCTATTCTTAAACCTTGATTAACTTGGTTTTGGAGAGGTTGACACCTGGTCATGTGATTAGGATAACAAATTGCCACTAACGTTTGGCTTGAAGACAAGTGTTCTCTTAAGCATTAACCATGTAGAAATATAACCTCTTCATTTGTTTATTTAATGCCTAGCACATGATTTAAGGAGCTTTTTATTTATGTCCTCTAGCATATTTTATATTTATATCCTACACTTATCCTTAGAAATGGAGATTGCCAAGATAAATAGAGAGATTACTAGAAATAGAAACACTACCTTGTGCACTCAATCTTGCTGAGAAGAACAAAGGCATCAAGCTACAATTAAGTCCAACCAAGGATGCATACACAAACCAGAGTTCATTAAGCTTACGAGAGTATTAGGATTATATTTAAAGTCATTTTATTTAGCCAAGGACTACCGTAACTAAGCCATCGTCGAAAAAAGCCGAGCACGCGCGTCTATCGAGCAGACGCGGGTGAAAGCACGGGCCTTAACGCCAGTTCACGAGCAACCGAGGAGGTAAGCTTGTGTTATTAATTGTTTAGAAATTATAAGATCATATAGGGAGGATCATGGTAAACTTTGTAGTTAAAGCCCATTTGATTGAAGCTTTGCTCTCGTAGGCGCCATATAGGCCCTACCGAGCCAATTCATTTTCTAGCCGAGAACTGTCGAAAATTTTATGCATTTTCGATTGTTATATGTCATGTTATGTTGAATTAAGTTGCAGTTGCCGGAGAAAGTAGCCGGACGGTCGACAAGGTGCCGGTCGTAGTGCATGCTCGCACATAACGTACGCAACATGCCCGACAGTAGCGTGTAGGCTTGCGGATAGCTCGCGTGCGCCTAGTTGTGCGACGCGCGTAGCTCATGCCCGCAATGTTCAACAACGTGTAGTCAGCCAGTGTGCGTAGAAGTGCGTAACGCACGCCAGTGACGCACGGTAGCGCGCAGCCAGTCTGCGTGCGCCCAACGCCCATAGCGCATAGCGAGTGTAGGCAGCGCCTAGCCGCATCGCAGCATGCGTGAACGTCCGTCAACCAGCTATGCCCAGACGCATGCTTGGTAGTCCCAGTGCATGCCAGCGCGCCCCACAACGTGTCAGCATGCATAGTACGCCTCGGTCAGTGCTCCGTAGCACGCCCGAGCGCCATGTGTCATCAGGGTCGCTCGGCAGCGCCCCTGTGGCACCGGCCGCGCCAGTGCATCAGCAGACCCTGCGCGGGACCAAGCCACTTAGTCCAGCCAGTGCCCGTTCGCCCAGCCACAGCGAGCTAGCGGTCCAGCCAACCAAGTGAACCGGCCAGTCTAGACCGGTTATCCGAGCATCTTATTATTTGTCGTTCCGGTTCGAGTTTATTTCAGAATTTCAGTTAACTTTCAAGCCAAGTCAGTCCAGTATAGCAATACCAGTTAAGTCCAGATTTAAAATCAGTTAAAATAGAATCCTAGACTATTCCAGTAAATCCAGTTAAATTATCAGTTAGAGTTGAGTCTCTTAGCAGTTATTTTTAGTAAGTCTAAGCATATCACTTAGTATTTGTTTATTTATATATTTTTACAGTTTCAGCAGTTAACAGATCAATCAGCACTTACATTTTCCAAACTAGCAGTACAGGTGGGGACCCAGACTAGGTATTACATTGAGTATAATTACATATATCATGTTCGAGGTATGTATATTCAGCTTCCTCTAAGGGTGGTGGTCAGATACCGCAAGTCCATCCTAAGTTCTGGTGGTGGCTCAGATAGCCTTAATATTTCCACTAGAGTGTGCACATGGTTTCCGGCCCAGTTTTGCCGGCAGATTCAGTATCAGTTTCAGTACTAGTATAATTTCAGTTTCAGATTATATACTGTTGATCATGATATTGAAATTATTATTGTTGTTTACTTTAGTATGGGTTTCTGCGGAGCACAGTGGCTTTTAGTGCTCACGCCCTCACTCTTTTTTCTCTTTTTTCAGATTAGAGGGTCGGACCAGAGGTGTGAGCTCAACTTGGTGGTTGTGGTCGTGGACTTGGCTCATTTGCCATTCTTGTGGGATTTTATACATTTCAGGCTGTATATATATTATTACGCCACGAGTATTTACTTCCGCATGCTTTTCAGTTATCAGTTTTCGAACTTGCATACTAGTATTTCAGATTACCAGATTTTACCCGGTCCCCTAGTATGACTTGGGTTCAGTATAGTATGCTTGTTGACATTATGTTTTCTTTATGTCTAACCTAGTAGTTAGACCCAGTTTAAAGAAAACGGATTTTCAGAACAAAGATAAAAAATAACATGATTCAAGGACAATAAAAAATAAAGAAATAAGGTTATAACTTTCCTGAAGACATGAATGGTAAATAAGGGCATTTGATCAAAATTTATTCAACATACATTAGAAACATGATTGCAGTCTGAGAACAAAATCATACAATTTACAGAGCCTCTGTAAAATGGAATATCTCATGCCACAGACATGCTTTTGACTTGATACAAAAACTATCAGGAAGCTAACACAAAAGGCGGTTATATTTTTCATGAAGACCACTTTCACATTTGAGCATGTTAGAATATCGATCGCAATCCAAACATTTAATATATATGCGCGGCCAGGTTTACAGAAAACTGCTTGCACAATTATTTTGTAAAAATCATCTCCCTCAATTTAAATCAGATTTTCAAAATTTCAAGCCCACTGAAAGCTAACAGGGTAAACTATAATTCAAATAAAGAATACATTTTCAAATAACGAATTCACAATGGTCATAACAGAGGCACAACAGAGACGGTAAAATCGCGATAAATCATGTAATTCTCAACGAAACTTCATCAAATCAATATCATATTATAAGCAACTCATATTAAATCACCTAAACAACAACTTGAGCACTTTATATCATCATTCTTACACTCATAACAAAGGAGAGTTTCATATTTAGCATGCTTGAACACGTATTCAACATCAACCTCTAAGAACTCCAACATAATTCATATAAGCACATAAAATAACAAGCCCTAGCATGAATATAACTCAAAGAATCAATACATCATAAAATTACACATTAACATAAAAGGGTTTCGAGACTCGATGTACCATTCTCACGAAAAGATCACGAGACGGTCGAGAAGAGGGATCGAAACGGCTGCCGGTGCACTCGACGAGCTCGGCGTCTGGTGAAGCCTGACTTGTGGTGGTGCTCGACTTTGAGTGAGGGGAGAGCATTGATCGTGGGAAAGAGATGAGAGAGGTGATGAGAGCGAGAGATATAAAAACGAGAGAGATGATGAGATTTCTTTATTTCCTAAACGCCATCGAGAAAGAGAGATTAAGAGATGGGAAATGGTCTGGGTGAAATTATGAGAGATTGGAGAAGAAATAACCTACATATATGTATATATTAGCCTAGGTTAAACATACTTTCCCAACAAGAAAAAAGAAAAAGAGGATCGGGCGCGCGGGTCTCAAGCTCACGATTTTTGGGCTTTGCGCTCGGGCTGGTTCCTCTCGGTTCGACTTAGCCAATTAAATGGCTCGGTTTGAACGAACAATAAAATAAATTAAACTGGACAATAAATATATATATATATATATATATATATATTACATACAATATTTATTTAAATAAAAAAGCAATTAAACAATTAGGAAATTAATAGGAAATAATAATAATAATAATAATAATAATAATAATAATAATAATAATAATAATAATAATAATAATAATAATAATAATAATAATAATAATAATAATAATGCTAATAAAATATCCTAAAATAATCGAACGGAACATTATATTATCTTTAAGACAATATAATGTGATGGCTTTAAGCGATAAAGAATCATAAATAGCCCAAAATAAATCAATACCATGAAATTTCATAAAATCCAAATAATCACATAAATTCTATTATTTGAACGGGGCGCTACAGGGGGTCTCTACTTCTTTCGCGGGACGGTTTCTACGACAGTTTCTTGTGTTCGGATAGTTTCTGCCGATGTGTGGCATCAACGTTTGGGTCATCCGTCTGCTGAAGTGTTGTCTAAGGTTCCTGCTATTGATTCTCGTTCTTGTAATTTGCATAAATCATGTGATCCTTATTTTCGTGCTAAAAAACATCGTCGTAGTTTTCCTCTCAGTGAGACTGTTAGTCATGAGATTTTTCATTTGATTCATTGTGATTTATGGGGTCCGTATCGTGTTCCGTCCTTCTGTGGTGCACGATATTTTTTGACTATTTTGGATGATTGTTCTCGTGGAACATGGATTTATTTATTGAGTGATAAGATGGAGGTTGCTTCCACACTGCTGAATTTTGTTTCTATGATTAAGCGACAACTTAATAAATTGGTGCTTATTGCTCGTAGTGATAATGGAAGTGAGTTCATGTATTTGGCCTCTTATTTTCGTCGTCAAGGGATTTTGCATGAGACTTCTTGCGTATGAACTGTTGGGTTCTGTTAGGAACGTCAAACAACATGCACAACATTGAACTTTATTGAAATAAATCCTAACGTAGCGGAATCTATAGTTAGGATATGGACGTTTACCTTTTAAAATTTTTGCCGACTCTGAGACGATGTAGAGTACCGTTGGTGAAGTTCGTCTGAACACCACAACCTAATGGGCGGATAGGTTTGGCCTTTAGTTGATTCTAATCAACATGTCAAACGAATCACGAACGGACGGTGTGCAGGTCTCGGACGTCGGGTGCAGCGGGCAGCACGTGCGCGGACAGCGTGCGTGTTGATCGGGCGCGTCGGGCGCTGGGCAGACACGCGGACGGACGCTGGGAACGTGGACGGGCGCTGGCGATGCGCGGGACTGCTGGCGATGCGCGGGTGGATGCTGGGCGTGTGCGTACACGCGGTGCGCTTCTCCTATGCGGACGCGGACTGGGCGTGCGCGTCTGGGACCACGCGGCGTGCTGGACAAGGAATCCTGGGCGCGCGCGGAAAGGTGCGCGCGTACTCCTCGTACGCTGGCGACGTGGGAATGGCGACTGGCGGCAACAGGCGAGCAAGGGCACTGCGCAATCGTTGCTGGGACCTAGCGAAGTTGACCGGACGTCGCTGGTAGGGCCTAGCTGGGCGCGGGCGCGGGCTGGGACTCGCGACTGCGATCGGTTGGGCGTGAGTGACGGCTGGCGGCGGTAAGCGATTTCCGGCGGCGGATCACGGCGGCAATGGGCGGCGATCGGCAGCGATTAGATGGTGATGATCACTGAATATATATATATTAGAAAGCTCAATAAATTGTACCAAAAAGCCTTTCAACGGATTACCTAAACACCTATTCCGATTAAACTTGGTGGAGTGTTTAATCGGATCTCCCTAACTCTCGAACAAAGCAATTCTCACGTGTATGTAGATGAGAAATTCGCCAAGACAACATTGTAGGAGAGGTTGGGACATGGTGTATTTATAGGCTCCATTAGGGACCTTAAGGAGGTGCTAAATATGGGCTTATTCCATTAGGCCTAGGACTCCTAA